TTTGCCAAAATTGCGCCATGTTCGACTTCTTGTATTAAGCAAGAAAGATGCTATTTTCTTTGAAACTTTCATTCTAAGCATTCTTATCTTTTCTGTTTATAAGGAAACTTGCTTATACCAACAAGCCTGCTCTGTGAAACCAAGCGAATTTTGAAGCAGAAAGTGCGTTTCTTGTTTTTCATTGGCGCCATCCGGGGCCTAGAAGTTGACTTTAGACACACACATGTCACAGCCCTTTTAAAGGACGGATCCACTCATGCATCCAGAGCTCATAATTTGGATCTGAACCAGAGAATTATCTATCTCCAAATCAGTTCCCCCAAAAGAAGGATTTGTTAATTAAGCATGGAAGAGTTTGTGTCCCGACAGCTTAAACGTGCACCAATTACCATTCATTAAACGGGCATTCTTCGGCAGACGGGGTCAAACCCACGACCACTTGAAAATGGTCCCAACGCTCTATTAACCAGGCTATCCCGGTTTCCCACGAATTCTCTCATTCGTGGACGTTACAAGATTATGAAAAAAGATTTTAATGACGAATAAAACTACTCCTTTTTTTATCTTCTTCACTTGCGACCATATGAAAACTCGAGATTTGCAGAATTAAAAACAATTTCTTTATCAGAATTATATTCTAAATTATTGTTTTTAACGGCGATTTTATTCAGGCGCATATTTAAGGACTTTTTTCTTGTTGAGACTTTTTCTAAAATCGCTTTTTTTTCTTACATTTTCGGCTTTTTAGTTTTGTTTTAAGAATTAAGAACTATTTTTTTTTCGCTTCATCTTTCTCTAAATTTTGTTAAACTGTGTTTATATAAGGGCACAGGATTTTTAAACTGAGATTCTACTAGAATTGTTTTTTCTTTTGTGTCTAGTTTTACTCGAAATTGTGATAAAATGAAAAACTGAGATTCTTTATTGCTAATTTTTTGTTACTATTGACGTTTTTATTATGACGCGGTATTTTTAAGAGTATTTCTGATGATTTTATTCTTTTATCGCCACTTTTTCTTATATAATCTGAAGAAATAAAATTTGGTTTTTAAATTCAAAACGATATATTTTTGGGTCTGTCATTATCTTCTTACATAACTGTCAGAAAGTACTGTTAGTACTGTTTTCATACCTGTTTTATTACCCAATGGCATAACGGGTTTTGGTTTGATGCCATCAACATGCTTTTCAACTGTGCCAAGAACAATATTAAACACTGCGCATGCGTCGTCATTGCACGCGTTGCTATGGCGACGGCTGCTGTTTTTCTTTTCATTACCAAGTATTTTTAATGTATTTACATAATAATAATTTAAAGTATTTTTTTTTCTTTTTATTCATCATCATCAATGGCTCGACAGCCCATGGTGGGCCTTGGCTTTCTCAAGAAGTTTTTTCCAAGCTAACCTTCTTTTTGCCAGTGTTTTCAAATTTTTAGTTTTTAAGACCAAAAGGTCTTTTTCTAGGCCATCTATCAAACTCAGATTCAGCCTGCCTCTTTTTCGTGTGCCATCTGGTCAGGCATTGAAAACACTTCCATTCTGATAACATTGCCTGCCCATTTTATACTTTATCGTTTACATTCCTCTTATTATTAACGTATCATTACTGTCTTGACGGTGATTTAAATATAAATATGAATACTGAAGAAGTAAAAGTATTTTGTGACGTCTTGAAACACGTACATAGGCAGGATTTGAAAACCAATCAGATGACAATCATCCAGTGAGACAGTTTTTGAAACCCATGATTTGAAATGTTGGGGTGTTTAACGGAGTCAATCGAGAAAGAAAAAGCATTTGACCAATGGGTAACCAGTGATCGTAATAAGGCGTTCACAGCGTTTTATTTTATAATAGGCCTTTTTTTATTGTTTTTATTCCTGTCTATCTTTATTTTGCTATAATTGTGTTTCTAAAATGTATTTTTTCTGTTTCTTGCGCTTTTTTAAATTTACAATTTCATATTCTTTTATAAATGTATAAACTTTCGTTTTTTTATTGCAGTTCTTTTTAGTATATTAAATACGCTAATATGAAACGCTAATAATTACGGCAAAATTTTTTAATAAATATAGATGAAAATTAAGTAAGGTATTTTTGTATTCTTGCATTTTTTTTTCTCTGTTTAATGATTTCAATTCTTTTAATTAACTTAATATTTAGGGACAACCATTGCAGGTTTTTCTCTTTTTATCGTTAAAACTTTTTATAAGCGTTGATTACGTAAATATTAAGAAGCAGCATTTTGTTTTCTCGAGAAAATTGAGTAATATTAAAAAATACAGTTTTCGAGTAAAAGAAACTTTTGCATATCTGGAATTTGCATATTCCAGTGTATTCCGGATTATACACTTTTTACAGTAACATAGATTTCTGATCATCTTTTTTTCTTTTACATGTTTTATGAGCAATGATCTATTTATAAATTTTATGTCAGTTAGGATTCTACTTATTTTTCATTTTTGAACAATGAAACTCTGAACAAATTTATTTTAAACTGGAACAGTATTTCAGGGGAACAGAATTTCGTTATTAAAGATTCATTTCGAAGTCAAGTTCATTTCCCATTAAATTTTAATTTATGTTTGATAATATTTAAAAGCAATAATAAAAATATTTGGCTATACTAATCCCAATAATATCAGCTTTGTTTAGTATCTAATAAATTTTACGATTCTAAACTAACTCGAATTTCATCAAGCATCACTGGTTTAAAAGATTAAACTCTGAATTTTATAAGATAAAACTATTATTTATACCATACTGAAATTTTAAATAAAATTACTTAGGTACAGAATTTTTTTTCACTATTTCAGAAATGAATCGTGTAGTGTATATGATATTTTGAGAAATGCTTTACATAAATAAATAATATGAGCAGCTACTTAAATCGTTTTAAAATTTCAATTTTTGAAAAAGTGACCCTATAAAAAAATGCCACTGGCTGGTTGGTATTACTCATTTCGTCCTATTTCGCTCAGCAACGAAAGCATAAAATTACTTCTGGTTAAATTTTGTCTCTGGAATCCTAAGTTGGAATTTTGTTTTGAAACGTTAGACAAATGGTTCACCCAAAATTTTCATAAAGCAAGCCACAAAAAAGCTACTTGATGACGTAGAAAAAGTTTAAACCTTGCCAAAAATCTTTAGTAATTAGGTTCTCAAAAGGTTTTTACAGAACCAATTGTAAGTTGCAGAATAAATAAATTATTAAAAATTGTTTTTTTTTCCTCTACCAAAACATTATTTACATTTTATCTCTGCCCACATCTCATGTATTTATCACATGTTATATCTCATGTCATAACTAGAAACAAGTTTAAATTTTGATACCGAAAGTTTGCCCTTTGTAGGAAACAATTAGTCCAACTATATGCTACTTTACCAACTAAAATGAGTTACGGAATTTTTTTTTAGTTTTCTTATGATTAGAAAATTTGAATTTCGCCGCCAAGCGATAGCTCATCCCAAGAAATAGTCAGGACCACATTTTTTTTTTCGTTTGTCATCTTGTCAAAAGTACAACCAAAACTAATTTTTCTTTTTTTTTGCCATATAAATTACAGTTTATGACCTAGAAACTTCAAGTATGAATTTTCCCTGCCGTAGCTTAACTTGAACTTGTTGTCCGCACAAACAGTAGCGGTCGCCACAGCAACGCATGCGCACTGATTACTATTACTCTAGAACATAGTTGAATAGTGTGATGACGTCCAAATAAAGTGCGCACGCCATCAGACCCAAAACAAGATCTATTTTAACAATGGGTAATAGGCGTAAGATAACTTTTGCCTTAGAAATTTGAAATACAGCCTTTAAATATTCACCCATCGAAGGAAATCGTTATCCTAACAAAATTTTCGTTAGGCTACCCACCAATAAAAAAAAGTATGACCAAAATATGTTTTAGCTAATTTATTACATAAGAGCTATGATATTTTGCCAAAAATTGTAGGAAATTGCTGGCGCAACAAAAAATTTCATTACCCCACCTAGAAAAAAATATGGCTAGGGCAAGTTTTTAATCTAGAAAGAAATTTTGCCTCAAAACATTGGCTCACTTAACAAAATTATAAGAGCATACGTTGCTTCAACGAAAAATATCGTTAGCTCACCCACCAGGAAAAGTCATGGCCATTAGAAGTTTCTTAAAATGTATAGACTTAAAAATTACGAAACCACAAATTTGAATTCCGCCCACCAAACGCTTAACTCATTTTGGGAAATCGGTAGACGTTCTAAAAGAAAAAAGCTTCTTAAAACAGGCTTTAGGTAACTTTTGTCCTAGAAACTGCAAGGTAGAATTTTTAAAAAAAAAATTCTAAGAAATATTTAGAGTTGATTATCCGACGAAAGGTTCCATTGATTTTCCTGCCAAAAAAATTATGGCTATAACGTTTCAGCTAAATTATGACCTAGAAAGGACAAATTATAATTTGACTAAACGCAAGTTCATTGTAGCATCGCTTGACCCCAACTGAAAGTGAAGGAATTTTAGTGTCGCATGTTAACAATGCTCCTAACTAAGGACTGAATTAGAAATCTAAGACTGTAGGAACCAAACTATCCTATGTAAACCAAATTTGCACGCTCTTTCTAAACAAGATTCGTTTGAAGTATTCATAACAAAAGTAAATTATGATATATTAATAAATTTGAGTTTAACCCACTGGCGGTTATGGAAATGGGCAAAATTGAGAGAATGTTTCTCCCCTACACACAGTTTCCCTATCAGTTAACATGGGAAAACCGGTTTTGCTATGCAGAGAAGTCTGCAGGTTAAAATGCGACTTTTTACGTGCAGAACCGTCAGTGGGTTAAACTTATTTTAATTTTTGTTAACAGGCATCGCTCATAACCTTTCGCCCTCTTTGCCCGAAAAAGAGAGCAAATCACAAATCCCATTCCAACTTTAGGTGCTTTCGATATATTACAACGGCCTGAAAAATTTATTGAAGAACTAGAGAACTAGAAAATTTATAGAAAAACTATTCTTACCAAAGCTATGATGAATCACAAATTACTATTCTCCATCATAAAGACAACATCCTGTCCTATAAATTCCAAAGCAATCAATAAGATATGAATAAAATATCAGCTGTTTTAAAATAATAATAAATTTACGACACATATGAATATGTGGTCACTGAAATTTATTTGTTCGAATAAGAATTTTATTACAATACTACAGGGTGTTTCATATTGAATGGGACAAAAAGAAAACATGATTGTAAACGTTATAATTAATATATTTAGAAAATTTAAATTTACTTAAAAACTACATTTATTCAAGTTTCTACAGGTGTTCAATATGTGCCCCTCCGGTGACACGACAAATGTCTACACGGTAATCCCGCCCCACTCGTGATAGCATATCCCCTGTGATGGAGTTTCTTTTCGTCCTGGGCTTTTGTTCTTGCATAAATTGCCGGTATCCTGGAAATGCTTCACCCACCTGCTTATGTTATGCCGATGCGGTGGTTCCTTTTGAAATTTCGTGCGAAAATGTCTTTGCACAAAAGTTACCGAGGAGGTTTTGGCATATTCAAAAGCGCAGTACGCTTTCTCCTGCATGGATGACATTTTGTTTAACAGCGCCTCCAGCGGCGAGTTCGTCATTCGATGATTTTTCCCTGTTGCCAAATAAAACTTGTACAATTGTAGTTGCAGAACAAATTTGTTTCGGCTGAATAAATCCATTAAGGCAGTCACACATTCTTTTTGTCCCATTCAATATGAAACACCCTGTATTATACGAGCTCAATTGTTCCCCATATTTCTTTCAACGAATACTAAGAGATGTATTATCATTCACCATTGACCACAGGGAGACTAAATATGTATGGGTGATTCCCACGAAATATGACAATTTACAGTCTCTTGCTTCAAGATCTAATACTATACTACTAAAAGAACTTTTTTTAAAAATTTTAATAAATTGCATTTGTGTTAGTATTTTAGAATGACTTTGCATTAACATTGACTGTTTTGTGTATTTGAAAAATTTAATTTAATTTCAAAATGTCATTTTCCTTGCATGTCACAAATAATATTTCCAATAATAACTAGCTTCGAAACTTCCCATAAATTCACCAATATCTAATTTTTTTTTATCTCAACCGCTGTAAGCATTTCTCGAATATATGCAAAGGGTATTATTTACAAAAAATCTTTGTTTAAAATAGTTTCTTCTGTTGTTTGTTTCTTATTTATAGTTTCTTAATTGTTTGTCACAAGAAAATCTGTCATTTTCCTGGTTACTTTTATTTAGTGATTTATAACCAAAATAGATAGCGCTAGCAATTAATATCTTATTTAATAGATTGATTAGAATACCATCCTATCGGAACATGCCTTATTGCATGAATAAAGAACCAACTTTCTAGTTCAAAACCTATTTCAAAAATTTGTAACGTCTTAGGCCGACATTTTAAATTAAAGTTAAATACTATATAATGACAAATTGTCATTATCCTGGCTTATGAATGCCAGGACATTGAAACAGTTACCAGAATTTTTTTTAAATAGTTGAATGTAAAGAGAGAAAGCAAATATTAACCTAATACCAAGTTTATGTAAGATTGCAATATGCTTGAATGTAATCAGTTATTATTTTTATTTAATGATTGATTATTTTACACATTTTTATTCTTTACATATAAGCAACAAAAACATTTTTGATTCTTTTTGAAAGTAATATAAAATACCAGAACAGGGAAAAAGGCATATTTTTAGCCAAACCTAGTAAACATAAAATAATGATTAATTGATACAACCTACCAATCAGGTTACTGCAAGTAATCTAAATGATGTATTGCCTTATTGAAGACCTTTGATGCAACCTTACTCAGAGGAGCATCAATTCTCTTAGACCGAAGTGTTAAACACTATAAGTTAACCGATGCTGAGTGGAAGGAAACTAAAAAAAACATCAAACAAAATTCCATACAGGCAGGCCATTGGCAGTTTATTGTATCTCGCCTGTGGTACTCGCCCTGACATTGCTTATAGTTCTACTTACATGAGCCAGTTTAACAAGAAACCTTCTGAAAAACATTGGCGAAGAGTCAAACACTTATTCAGGTATCTTAAACAAACATCTTTGTTTGACACACAGAAAAACTAGAAAGAAGCTAAAAATATTTTCCGATGCAGACTGGGCAGCAGATTGCATTGACAGAAAATCGTTTAGTGGTTATGTGATCATTCTTGGGGGCGCTGCGGTGTCTTGGTCTAGTAAAAAACAACATTGCACTGCGATGTCTTCCGCAGAAGCTGATTACCTAGCAATGGCCCATGTGACCAAAGAAGTATTGTGGATAAAGTGTTTACTGTTTGAGCTCGGTAAAGAAATGTTTCTACCACCTCCCGTACTAATAACCAGGCAGCTATGTTCATAGCTAAAAATCAAACTCACACATAGACCTTAGGTATCATTTCATACGTGACAATGTAGATCAAAAAATTGTCGAGTTTCAATATATTAATTCACGAGATAATGTAGCTGACCTCATTGCAAAAAAACATTTCGAAGAAAGTACTCAATAGTTTGAGGACTCAGGTTTTATAGAATAACTGTGATATATTATGTATATGTGTAATGATCAATCCCGTGCCCTGGTAAGGGGGAGTGAAAGTAATATAAAATACCAGAACAGGGAATAACGCATATTTTTAGCCAAATTTTAAAAACGTAAAATAATGTTTAATCGATAAGACCAACGATGATAGAATCAACCAATCAGGTTACTGCAAGTAATCTAAATGATGTATAGCCTTATTTAAATTTATTATAGTATTATTAATCAGAATTAAGATTAATTTGCATCTCCAAATTTGTTAAGTTACTTCGTTTTTACTACCTCGTTTGTCAATGCAAAAATATCACACATTTTTAAATTAATACAGGTTATGGAATAATTTACCTTGATCAATTTACTTAAATTTAGTTTTTAGTAAAGTTAATCAGCAAATAGATAAATGAAAATTAGTTCGTTACAGCTTATTATAGGCCATGAACCATGATTGATTAAATAATAATTCATAAACAAATAGCTTAAAATTTATTCACTGGAATGAATAAATATACGTAGTAAAAGTATTAAAATATAAAAACCAAATTTTGTGCTCGAAAGTCTATTTATTTAAAATGGTTAACCTTCATTACTAACAGAATTTATATTGAGTTCGAAAATTCTGAGTGAGATCGTTCTTAAAAATGTTTTCTTTAAAAGAAAAAAGGGGGTGGGGGTGCTGGAAGATTTAGTGTGTATATAAAAAATTTAAGTTTATTAAGTAGTGTGTGAGTATATATATACTTATATCGTTAGAAGCATTTCAGATTTTTTTTTTTTTTTTTTTTGCGAGTGAAGCAAACAAAAAATTTTGCACATTGTGCTTTAAAGTAGTGCGTTTGGCAGTGTCTTTGGAGATCTTACGAGAGCCGGAAACTCTATTAAGTTATTATTAAAACGGTTACATGACTGGTGTGTAAAATTTCAGAATTGCAATACATAAAACAAATAAGAAAGAAAAATAAAGATGGAACGTTTTACTTACAGTGTTTGTCCTTCAAAAGCAACAGTTCCTCTTAATCTGCTCAAAGAAAATGATTCAAAGACCAAAAGAGGAGTAGAGTAGATGTCTTCCCAGAGAAGACCAAGACAGTCCAGGTTATGATCGGCGGAAGCACTGATGGCAGAGGGAGCAGGTTTTAGTTCCTTGGGAAAATAGTAAACCCTTTAGATGACCAGTAGCTAGGCGGGAGAGGGTGGTGCAGACTCTCCTTTCAAAGGGAAGAAAGAGTCGAAGAAACTCCAGGATTATTTCCTTTATACCAATGGTGGGTGGGAGGAATCAGCCAGTCCCTGAGAAGTTGGAATTTCTTTAGGGAGTAAAGTTCAACATAGGTGAGATCATAAGAGGTAGTGTGTGGTAGGCTGCAACCCTCTCTATCCAGGCTATCCGCTAAGTCGTTTCTATAGAGACCAACGTGAGAAGGAATCCACTGCAGGTGAATATTATGCTGAAGGGACAAGAGTTTTAATTAGTTTAGGATGGAAATACTGGTTTTGCCGCCAATATGGGATCTGTTGTTGAGATGTTGCAGGAAGCTGCGGCTATCAATGAGTATCTAAAGGTCTTCAAAACAAAGGTTATTGTGCATAAATAATTCCAGACCCCTGTTGATAGCACGAAGTTCACTTCTGAAAATGAGAAAATCCTTAAAAGCTGAAATAAATAAGAATTAAAAATAAACCGTTTTTTTCTGTTCACAGGAAACATGAAAATGAATTGAAAAGAAAATGTGATGTGAATATTTGAATCTATTAAAGCTAGGACTGAAAACCGTTATGATCACATTGGAGGGAAAAAATTTGAAAGAAATTGAATAAAGTGCCGTGAAACATATTAGATAAACACTAGAAAACAAAATGAAAATTAATTTGGAAAAATTTGGTAGACACATTGAATGAAAAGCTAAATGAAAAAGTATTAAAAAAAAACTGAAAAACTAAAAAANTGGTATGCGTCTCATACAACAACGCCCCCTATAGTTCGTTGCGATCGCGAATAGTTTGAGGACTCAGGTTTTATAGAATAACTGTGATATATTATGTTTAGCCAAATTTTGTAAACGTAAAATAATGATTAATCGATAAGACCAACGATGACAGAATCAACCAATCATGTTACAGCAAGTAATCTAAATGATGTATTGCTTTATTTGTTTATTTGCTTTCGGCAACAGTTGTTGTTGTAATTTTGAAAATATCAATAGAAGCGTCTTTTTCTTTTTTCGACGAAGTTTGTCTCATGTTATAATCTTTATTAAAATATTTCTTTTTCTCAAAATGATTTGCTGATTTGCAATAATAATTTAATTTCGTCACTTTCTACAGTGGATAAAACAATTAATTTAAGCAATTCATGGTCAAACGCAAAGGCTTAAGTTGAGTTACTATTAACTTAAAATGACTGTTTTTTTAACTTCTAAGTAAATATGTCATTTTCCTAGTATTCAAAATTTAGTAAATTTCTATTTTTTTCTTGAACAAATGTCAATAAACCACACTGCTGTTTCTAAGATATTAATAAATGTACTTAAATAAATATACAAAAAACTCGATTATTTTGAAGAAATTTTTTTCCGAATTGTCATGTTTACAGAGAATCACCCATATATATATAAAAAATGTCGATTAAACAATTGCCTGCCATTCGCCACCTGACGCAACTTTTTTCCGCCAAAATCGCGTCATGTGCTCTAAAATCAGTAATTTTGACTTCTTGTATTACTCAAGAGAGATGCTATTTTCTCTGAAACTTTCATTCTACGCATTCTTGTCTTTGCTGTTTATAATTAACTTCCCTATACCAGCAAGCCTGCTTTGTGAAACCAAACGAATTTAAAAGCAGAGGGTGCATTTTTTGTTTTTCAGTCGGACCATCTATGGACTAGAATGCGACTTCAGATACACACACGCGTCACAGCCTTTCAAAACGATGGACAAGCGCATCCATCCATCCTCAGATCTTAATTTTGACCTGAACCAGAGAATGACCTATCCCCAATTCAGTTCCCCCACAAGTATATGGAAACATGGAAGATTTTGTGACCCGACAGATTCAACGTGCCCCAGTCGTCCTTCACTACGTCTTCGGCAGGCGAGGATCAAACTCACTTGAACATGGCCTTAACGCTCTACCAATCAGGCTATACCTGTCTCCCTCGAATTCTTTCATTCGTGGATGTTACATGATTACTAAATAAGATTTCAATGACGAATAAAACTATTTTTGTTGGCTTATTTGTTGCTTTAAACCAAATTTACAAATTTATATACGAGATGCGTATGAAATATTCATAACATAAATAAGTCATGATATATAAGTAAATTTTATCTTAAAATAATTTCCATTTTTGTTATCGCTCAGAACCACTTTGCCTGAATAAGTGAGCAAATCCCTATTCGACTTCAATAAATTTTCTGATCGTTCAAATATGACGAGAGTATAATTCTTACCAGAGCTATGATGAATCACTAAATATTCTTCTCTATCATAAAGGCTGCCCTATAAAATACAAAGTAGTAAATAAGATATGAATAAAATATCAGCCATTTAAAATAGTAATAAATTTACGACACATATGAACATATTTTCACTGTTATTTATTTTTTTTTTTTTTTTTTTTNTTTTTTTTTTTTTTTTGCAAGACTGTTAGATGCGTCCAATTCTTCCCCCTACCTCTGTCAACCAAAACTTGCCTTCTAAATGTAGGGATGAATCATAAGTCACCACCGGCCACAGCGAGACTAAAATGGCGATTAAACAAATACCTGCCGCTTGCCACGTGGCGCTACTTTTTCCCGCCAAAATTGCGCCATGAGCTTCTAAATCAGTGATATCGACTTCTTGTATTACGCAAGAAAGAGGCTATTTTCACCAAAACCTTCATTCCACGCGTTCTTGTTGTTTCGAATGCCACTTGTCTATATCAGCAAGCCTGCTGGGTGAATCTAAGAGAATTTTAAAGCAGAGGGTGCGTTACTTGTTTTTCAGTGGTGCCATCTATGACCAAAAAGGACTTTAGATACACACGTCACAGCTCTTTTAAAGGGTGGATCCTCTTATAGATCCACAGATCAAATTTTTTTGACCTGAGTCAGAGTTTCCCCAGAAGTCTGATTCTTTATGGAAACATGGAAGAATTTGTGAGCCGACAGATTCAACGTGCACCAGTCACCATTTACTTCACGGGGAGTCCTCGACCGGCTGGAATCGAACTCACGACCACTTGGACATAGGCCCAAAGCTCTGTCAAGACCCCTACGCATTCTTTCAATAATGGACGTCACAAGATTAGTAAATGAGATTTTAATGACGAATAAAACTATTTTTTTCTTTATCTTCTCCACTTGAAGCAATATAAAAAACAGAGGTTTACAGTGATAAAAGTTTCTTTTGAAAATTAAAAACAATTATTTTATTAGCATGAAATTCTAAATTATTGTTTTTAATGGCAGTTTTGAGGGGATTTTTTTGGGATAGACTTTTTCTATCACCGCTTTTTTTAAAAATTTTCGGCTTTTAAGTTTTGTTTTAAGAACTTTTATTCCATTTTTTTCTTTTTCCATAATTTTTTTACGTCTAATATTTTTATGTTTGTTTACTGTCTGTTTTTTCTGCTAGTCAACTAGAATTTTTTTTTCTTTGATGGCTAGTTTTTCCTGAAATTGTGGTAATATGAGAAATTGAGATTTTTAGAACTGTTTTTTTTGCTGTTATTCTTTCTTTGTTATTTTTTTTTTGTTTCTATTGACATTTTTTATTACGACATGGTATTTTTTTAAGAGCATTTCTGATGATTTTGTTCTTTTATCGCTACTTTTTCCTATATAATATGGAGAAATAAAATTTTGCTTTCCAATTCAAAATGATCTACTTTTCTGTTTGTTTTTTTGCTTCTTTCATAACTGTTAGAATTGTTTTATTACCCGTTTTAAAATTGTTTTCGTTTATTCCTGTCTATCTTTATTATTTTGCTATAAGTGGTGATTCTTATAAAAAAAATTTCCATTTCTAACGTTTTTAAATTTTGCCGCTTCGTTTTTTAATAAATGTATAATTATTTTTCAGTATATTAAGTACGCTAACATGAAACACTGATAATTTGCTCGAAAATTTTTACTAAATCCGGATGAAAATCAATGATTTAAAGATTAATATGTAAGCTCGTTGCAGGGAACAGTTAGCTCTACACTACCAATCAAAGGAAATTAGTCAAAACAAGTTTTAGATGATTTTTACTATAGAAAGCGCAACTTTTAAATTTGCCTTCAAATTTTCGTCCAGTGTTAGAAATCAGTCAATAATAGCCTCAAAAAATTTTCGTGATCAAAATCACCAAAACAGGTTTGATCAATTTTTGACATTAAAACTATGAATTTGAATTTTGTTTATAAACTATAAACTTTTATGGAAAATCTAGACAAAATAAGATTTTTTTCCAATTGACAGTTCACTTAAAGAAATTTCATGTTCACGTTAACTCGATAAAATATTTCGATAGCCCAGCCGTCAAAAACAACTCTGGTCATAAAAAGTTTTAGGCAACTCTAGAATTATGAACTTCAAACATTAACCCGTTAAAGAAAATCTCAAGCTAAACAAAAAATTTTCTTTAGTCCATCCACAAAAAAAAATTGACCGAAATGTGTAACTAATTCGTTACCTAGAAATCAAAAGTTTGACTATAAAGTCAAAGCTTTAGTTCATGACAGTAAATCATCAACCCAGCAACTTTATAATCTAATTAGCAATAAAAAAGCTTAAATTTTAACTTCAAACGTTAACCTATTGTAATAAAATTGTGAGCACATGCTAGCCAAATTAAAAGTTTTGTTAGAAAATTACTCTTAAAAAAAGATATCGCCAAAATAAGTTTGAGCTAATTTCTGACTAAGTAATCACTTATTAGAATTTTAGGCAAAATGTAAGGTATCGTCAGCCAAATAAAAAATGTTTTCATTTACCTATTAAAAAAAGTTATTTTTTTAGCTTACATTTGACGAAAATCATTTGAATTTCGTCCCCAAACGTAAGCTCATTATACAAAATCACAAGGCTCACGCCAGCTCAAAAAAAAGTTTCGTTTTCAAACTCACCAAAAAATTTAAGTCCGAAGCAAGTTTTAACTTTAAAAATATTTTAACTTCTTTTTTTGACATAACCACATGGTTGAATTTACCCATCAAACTTAAGACCATTTTGGAAAATTGTTGGTCAATGTCATCCAGACCCTCCAAAAAAGTTTATTTTGTATTTTGTCTTAGAAATATTAAATATTGTCGACAAATCTTAAGCCCATTGTATTATATCATTAGACTACTATAACTATTTTCAGCGCACCATTACCATGTGCTTGGTTAAAAACAAAGCAAAAGTCAAGTCCTAGCTAACTTTTGACAGAGAAACTTCAAATATGAATTTTACTTCCTCGCATTAGCTCTCTGTAGACCAAATGCAAAAAACAGACATTGCGAACAAAAATGCTCGTTAACCCATCCGCCAAAAAAATTTAGAGGATAAAAAAAGAGATATATCTAATTTTGCAATAGGAAGTTTAAATTTTATCTCGCGATATCAGCTTACAGACGAACATTTAAATCATATACCAGTCCAACTTAAATTTTCGTTAGTGAGGCAAAAGTTGCCAAACTAAGTTTCAGTTAATGCATTACTTAGAAATCTTATTTATAAAAATTAGCTAACTGTAATTAATCGAATGGATTATGGATACACATTCGATATCTGTAATCCATAATTGAATAGATTACGCATTATAGATATAGATTCAAAGAATATATTATGGCCAAAACGAGTTTTGGATATTTTTTACATTAGGAAATTTGAATACCGCCTCCAAACGTAAACTCATCATTGCGCAAACTGTAAAAATAAAAAAGAACCAAAAAAGATTTTTGCCAACTCCTGATTTACAATCCAAACAATTTGATCCTGTTATCAAACACTAGCTCACAGTAGGATATAATTCTCCTACGGAAAATGAAGAGATTTTTGAGTTTTAAATATCAACTACTCACTTAATATTCTTTCTGCTCTTTGTCAGAAGAAAAAGATAAATGAATCAAAAACCTACCTTAGATTCTTTTGTTATACTCGGGATTTCAAAATGAGTATAGCGATTAGAAACAGCTATAATTACGTAATGAAAAATAATTTATAGCTAAGATTAACATGGAATGTAGATGGAACATAAAAAGTTCTTCAGGGTGCGTAGCCAAATTTTTTAACAAAAAATAAGCACATTTTAAGCACTTTTCAAGCACTCAAAAATTATTTTCAAGCACTTTGAAAAATATCATAATTAGACAAGGTTGGCAAGTTTTTGACAATTGATGGTTTTATCCGGTTTTATTTACAGTGACGAAGACGATGGCGCGTCACCAACGATAATATTAACAAGAGAAATTAAAATTTTCTATCACTAATAGAGAAAAAAAAATTGACAATGTTTAGTTGGTCCCCGAAATCAGCAAAAATTCGAGAGATTTTTTCTATTCTATTACAGAAGGCGAAAACGAAGCTTGAATTTGAGAATGCAGCAGGGTTGCACATGAGAGTCAAAAATCCTTACCACTGAATCCAGCTCAGTATACGCAAGTGCGGACCAGCAAGTATTTTATCAAACATGTAAAACAAATGGTGTTTTCATACACTACAGACCGGCTGTAAGCCGAAATAGATTGGGGTTGAATTAATTGTGAAAACGTTGAATAGGAAAATGTATTTTTGCGCAATTTGTGGCGAAAATCAATTTGGTAAAGAAAATTATCACATTTTGGAAAAGGGAAATTTAAGCACTTTTTAAAAACACCCATGGAAAAAAGCACCTTTAACGGCTTTTAAAGGACGAAAATCGCAAATAAGCACCTTTAAGCACTTTTTAAAAACGCTATGCACCCTGTTCTTTATGTAAGGAGCAGGCGCAGTGAAGCGAAATCCGGCGCATGCGTGAGTTCATTAATGAAAATGACTAGTCCCGTGTAGAAAGCATTCGGGATGTTCGAATTGTCATTCTGTTATCACAGCGCAGAGATTTCGTCAACGTTACAATCAAGAACCTCCAAATAGGAACCATGTTAGCAGATGGCATAGGATGTTTTTTTTTTTTAATGACCGTCGTTGAACAGTCGACCCAATTTTTGGGTTTACGACTACTAATGTTCCACGCCGTAGCCTTGTAACTTTGAACCAATCCAGAAGACAAGGAAACTCATGGATCGGTACCCCCAGAGGTATTGATTTGTTATGGGAACATGGAGGACTTTGAGACTAGACAGATTTACCGTGCATCAGTCACCATTTACTACACGGGGAGTCTTCGACCGGCGGGGACCGAACCCACGAACTCTTGGACATGGGCCCGGCACGTGAAAAGGGGGGAGAATAGCGGAATGCCACGTGTTTCAGCGGAAAATGTTGAAAGAATTCCCCGCACGTATGAAAGAAGCCCACTAAAATCGACGTACGATGTCAGTAGGGAGTTACAAATGCCACAAACGGTTTGAGTTGTTCTCAGACAGAGGCTGCAAATTAAACCATACAGAATTCAACTTGTGCAGCAATTGAAACAGAAAGTCTACGGCAAACGTATGAATTAAGTACGTTTATGCTGTTAAGCATGGGGAATGAAACAATGTCTGATCGTTTCATTTTAGAGATGAAGAAACCTTCCACATAAGTGAAAAGATTAACCGGCGCAACAGTCGAATATGGGGTACGGAGAAGCCTTCCACTGTAATTGAATATGAACGTGACTCAGCGAAAGTTATGAGCTTCTGCGTGATCTCATCATTTAAATTGTATGGTCCTTTTTTCGTCTATGAGCGAAGTGCTAACGTTATCTTAACATGATTGAGGTATAGTTAATGCCACAGCTAGATACTGATTCTACGGATTACATCTTGCAGCAAGATGGAGCCCCTTCACTCTGGGGTACGATGGGTCGTACATTTTTAAATCAACAACTTCCAAACCGTTGAAACTGTTAAAGTGGAGATGCCGACGATGTCTCATATTCTTGGCCACCGAGATCTTCGAACTTGACACCCTGCGATTTCTATCTACGGGGTAATGTGAAAGACAGATGCATGTGCTTCCCACACCTACAACAGTTATTATTTTTATTTTATAAACGTCGTTAAACAGCCGACCAATTTTTGGGTTGAAGACTTCTAATGTTCAACTTAGTAGTCTTGCAAATTTGAACCTAATCCGGAAGACAAAAGAATTCCTGGATCAAGTATTGGGAGAAATTTTACCTTTGTGGAAGACTTTTTGATGGAACTAACCCGTATTTGCGTTACATGGAGAGGAAGACCACAAGAAACTCCCAAGGTTAGCCTGACGGCAAAGATCTCTCACCCGTGATCCGTTTACCACTGAGGATATTTCACATCAGCACTGTGGTCGGTGCAAGCCGGATGCGGATTCGTATCGATCAGCCATCGCCGGGATTCGAACTCGGTTCACCTCATTGGAATGCGAACGCTCTATCCCCGGAGCCATCACGGCTTAAAGCCCACAACAATTGATGAACTCAAAGAACGCATTTGTAACGCATTCACGCATTTGTGCACTCACCGACAAAGTGCGTCGGTGAGTGCACAAATACGTCTGAATGTATGGCGTGAAATGGACTACCGCCTAGATGTTTTCCGCGTGACCAAGAGAAGTCACATAGAAAATCTGTGATGCCTGTATACAAAATTTTGAATTCCCTTCTATATTCTGTGTCAATTTTATCGATGAATTCTTCTTCATTAAATAGTTGTAGCTGTTTGTAATCGCTATATTCATTTTGAATTACCCCGTATCTTACATATACCTGTATATTACATCCCTGTACAACCCTGTATATTACTGTATATTATATATACCTGTATATTTGAAAACCCTATAATTGCTATTGCTGAAGCATAATAAAATTCTTACCAGAACTAGTGGTGTATCACAAATTACCCAGGAGGTCAATGCTATAACTCTTCACGAATACCAATACCAGTTGTCCTGTAAAATGCACAGAAAAATAAGATTCCAAATGAAATTATCAACATTTCTAAAAGGATATTGAGATAGAAAGAATTACTGTTAATTTACACAATGTCTGCAAGTATTATTTGTAGGAGAAAAATATATGATTATATGAAGCACTTACACTCCTATACCTCTGATAACCGAAATTATCCCACTAAAAAAACAAGTTTTAGTTAATTTATGGCTGAAAATAAGAAATATTAAAATTTCTCTTCGATGGTTAGACCGTAGTAGGAAATCGTTAACCTAAAATAATAATAGAGCTAAATCAAGTTTTAAACACCGTTTGACCTAAAAATCAATAATTTGTTTTTACACGCATAGTCCATAGAAAATTGTCGGTCCGAATTTTCCGTAACCTTCAATAACGTTCAACTCCGTAATTTTGAACCTGAAACACGTCAGCAGCCATTTTGAACTTCAATCCTGAAAACAAGGGAGCTTCTGGATCAAGTATTGGGTAAAATTTGCCTTCGCGGAGGACTATTTGATGGAACTAGCCCGTATTTGCGTTGCATGGAGAGGAAGACCACGGACTAATAATGCTAAATACCTATTAAATATTTTAGATTTAACAAGTTATCATATCATTATCATTATCAAGTTATCATTATCATATTTTTTTCAAAAAAAAATTTTATTCTCTTTAAAATTTTTTTTAGCTGTTCTCGTACTATTTTCCTCCTAACTACTAATATCTGAAAAAAGGTATCAAACATTTCAAAGAAGGAATTATTTTTAAAAAACATTAAAAAGTTTAAAATTAATACATTTTACCTTATTCGCTGAGTTAATGACTTAGGCCTCAAATAGGAAAGACTAAATTGCTGTTACATAATTTTTATTTAAAGTAGCTAAATATTTTCGTAAACCACTTTATTTTCAAAAAAATTAGAAATTGCAATTTATATTTACTTTATTTAAAGTTCAAACTAAAGTTTGTTTCTTTTCTCAATATGGCCTAAAAGGAAAATATAAAAAACGAGAATAGAAAACTAAAACTTCAGGTTCAACTTAACAGGTTCTTTTTCAAATTTTCATAATGTGAAATAATTTTTACACTAAACCTTTCTTGGCGTAAAACAAATTTATTTTAACACCTACTATACCACATCACAAACATAAAATTAAGTATTTAAAAATAAAGGTAAATCACATAGTCAAAAAAACGCTTCCCCCCACATTTTAATCCTTTTTACACCACACTAAAATAGAAGAGAGATTCTTTTTTAATTAATTCTTAAGTTTTGTTCATATCTCGTAGCGCCATCTAGTGGTGGCAAACCTTAAAGAAAATATTTTGGAAGACGATATTTTTTTTACCCGTTGGCAAAATGTGTCTTGGTTTGGATTTGATGGCATCCTCACTTTTCAACGGCAATAATTAAGAAGAAACAGTTGCTATGGCGACCTCTGCTGCTTTATAATTTTTTTAGAATTCTTTTTTTCTCTTTTAATTTTGTTATGCATGGCGAGTTTATCTTTGAGATATGGGACCAGTGAGATCCCATAAATACTTCTTGAGTTGTGATTAAAAGAGAATTTCATCATTTGAACGATACTGTTTAATTATTTATTGTTTTAATTAAGAATTGTTTTTAATGTTTTAATTAAGAATCAGAAATTCTAACCTACAGTTCGAACTGAATCGTTTTCAATACTAATTCAGGTGAATATCACAAATAAAGAGGGTCCACACTGATTGACACTGTCCCAAAAGTTGAAGCAAGAAAAAAAAACGATGCCAAAGCCTAAATAGACCGAGGCTGAAAAAGTCAAAAAACGTAAACGGGAATACCTTAAGCGTTACACACAAACGGAAAAATGAAAGGATTCCGTTCGCAAACACATGCATAAAGCCTCACAAAAGTACAAAGCGGTTGAGAGAATTGAACCCTACCAAAGAGCGAATGGTGGATCTCCGAACCCCTTTCATGCAAATACGAGAACTGGGAGTGGATCACTAGTTAGGGATAAAAAGATCCATTGTCAACGTACCCAATGACTTGAACAAGACCGTAGACTGTTTTCCACGCAATATAAATGATTCATTCAGTATTCAAGTAAAATTGAAAAAAAAAGTATAGCTTTCAAATCATATTTCATGCATGAACTTCGAAATGGGCGTATGATGCAGCTTACAGTATCCATAAAACATCATTGTACCAATCTAAAAATGTTAATATTGATCTCGATTAGCAGTTCAGTGTCTATTCAGTCGTCAAAAGAATTTGCACAGAATGTGTCTGAGCTGCATTCAAATATGTCTGCGAACTTGCGTACCCAGCAGTTCAGGAATAACAGTTAAAGATGTCCAAGATGAAAACACAATATTGTTGCTTTTCCAAAGAAAATTAGGCAACAATTATTTTGCCAATGGGAAACCTGTGATATCCTTGAGGAAATCACAATTTTTTTTTCGTTTTATTTCGTTTTTCTTTTTTAAATCGATAAAGATCTATTTCTGAATTAGAACACCTTTATCTTTTTTAAAGGAACAAACTCGTGTGTTCTTTTTTGATAAAAATTTAAAACCTTATAGTAAGGAACAATTATCTCGACGAAATGAATTAGCAGCGTTAATGTGAGTTAATTAAGTAATAATGCTTAACAATATGAGAAAATTTATATAAAAACAAGTAAACAATTTGCGAAAAAGAACTTAAATACTTTAAGGGGCGTTGAAAATGTTTGCTTTGCTAAGTGGCTGATAGGGAACCTGAGATCTGAATTTCTAACATCTGATCAATTAAGTATTTTTTAAAATCTCATATTTGCTTTTACATATTACCAACTTCAAGCTCTTGCAAAGTATAGTTGCTGAAATGAAATATCCTCAGTGGTAGACGGATCATAGGTTAGAGTTCCTTTGCTGTCAGGCTAATCGTGGGAGGTTCTCGTAGTTTTCTTCTCCTTGTTTCGCAAATGTGGGTTAGTTCCATCAAAAAATCCTTTACGAAGGCTAATTTCGCCCCATACTTGATCCAAAAGTTCCTTTGTCTTCAGGATTAAAGTTCAAAATTCTTGCTGACGTGATTCAGGTTCAAAATTGCAAGGTTACGGAGTTGAACATTTGTAGTCGTAAACCCAAAATTACAATTTGACTAAACGTAAGTCCATTGTAGTATCTCTCGACCCTAAATGAAAATAATGGTCTTTTAGAGTCGACTGTTAACAATGCTCATGACTAGGGACTGAGTTAGAAATCTGAAGACTGTAGGAACCAAACTATCTTACTTGTCGTATCTTTGAACCAAACTTATTTATAAACAAGCTATTTATAAACAAGACGCGTTTGAAGCATTCATAAAATAAGTAAATTATGATATATTAGTAAATTTGAGATTGAATTTATTTCAATTTTTGTTATCAGGCATCGCTCATAACCTTCCGCCTACTTAGCCCGAAAAAGTGAGCAAATCACAAATCCCTTTCCGACTTTAGGTGCTTTCATTACATTTGAACGGCCAGAAAATTTATTGAAGCACTAAAATATAATTCTTACCAGAGCTACGATGAATCACAAATCACAAATTCTCCATCAAATCACAAATTCTCCATCATAAAGACAACATCCTGTCCTATAAAATCAAAACTAATCAATAAGATATGAATAAAATATCAGCCTTTTAAAATAATTATAAATTTACGACACATATGAATATGTGAACACTATTATATATTTGTTCGAAGAAAAATTATATTACAATACTGTTATGTTCGCCCCTTGGCCTATTCTTTGGCCAAGGTCCGCCCATTTTTTCCCCATACCTCTGTCAACCAAAGTTAGCCCTCTCAGTATAGGGATGAATTTCACTGGCCACAAGGAGACTAAATATATAGACAAAAAATGTTGTTTAAGCAATTGCCCACCTGACGCTACTTTTTTCCGCCAAAATTGCTCCATGTGACTTCTTGTATCATGCAAGAAAGGTGCTATTTTCTCCGAAACTTTCATTCTACGCATTCTTGTATTTGCTGTTTAGAATGAAAGTTGCCTAGATCAGCAAGTGAAACCAAGCGAATTTAAAAAGAAGACGCTGCGTTTCTTGCTTTTCAGTGGCGCAATCTATGCTCTAGAATGCGACTTCAGACGGGCCACACGTCCTTTTAAAGGATGGACCAGCTTATACATCTACTGATTCATCCTCAGATCATAATTTTGAAGTGAACCAAAAAATGATCTATCTACAATTCAGTTCCCCTAGAAGTATAATTTGTTCTGGAAGGATGGGAGATGTTGTGACCCGACAGATTTAACGTGCACCAGTCACCATTCACTAAACGGAGAGTCTTCGTCAGACGAGGATCGAACGCACGACCACTTGAACAGGGTCCCAATGCTCTACCAACCAGGCTATCCCGGTTTCCCACGAATTCGCCCATTCGTGGACGTAACAAGATTACTAAATAATATTTCAATGACGAATAAAACTGTTCTTTTTTATCTTCTCCACTTGCGACAATACGAAAAATGGAGCGATAAAGGTTTCTTTTGAGAATTAAAAACAATTTATTTATCAGAATTAAATTCTAATTTTTTTTTTTAACGATGATTTTATACAGGCGCTTATTTAAGTTTTATTTCATAGACTTTTTCTATAATCGTTTTTTTTTCTTTTTTTTTTTAAAATTTTCGTCATTTTAGTTTTGTTTTAAGAATTAAGAACTATTTTTCTTCCGTTTTATATTCTTCTAAAATTTTTTAAACTGTCTTCATATTTTAGTATTACAGTATTTTTAAACTCAGATTCTACTAGAATTTTTTTTATTTTTGAAGATAGAATTGTGATAATATAAAAAACTTAGATTCCTAGAACTGTTACTGTCTGTCATTCTTTATTTGTATGTTCTTGTTTCTATTGACGTTCTTATTATGACGCGGTATTTTTGAGAGCATTTCTGATGATTTTATTCTTTTATCGCCACTTTTTCTTATATAATGTGGAGAAATAAAATTTTGTTTTTAAATTCAAAACGATCTATTTTTCTGCTTGGCTTTTGCTACTTTTCATAACTGTCAGAAATACTGTTAGTGCTGTTTTCATATCTGTTTAATTACCCGTTGGCAAAACGGGTGTTGGTTTGGATTTGATGCCATCCACATGCTTTTCAACTGTGCCAAGAACAATATTAAACAGTGCGCATGCGTCGTCATTGCATGCGTTCTATGGCGACGGCTGTTGTTTTTCTTTTCATTACCAGGTATTTTTAATGTATTTACATAATAATAATTTAAAGTATTTTTATTTTCTTTTTATTCATCATCATCAATGGCTCGACAGCCCATGGTGGGCCTTGGCTTTCTCAAGAAGTTTTTTCCAAGCTAACCTTCTTTTTGCCAGTGTTTTCAAATTTTTAGTTTTTAAGACCAAAAGGTCTTTTTCTAGGCCATCTATCAAACTCAGATTCAGCCTGCCTCTTTTTCGTGTGCCATCTGGTCAGGCACTTCCATTCTGAAAACATTGCCTGCCCATTTTATACTTTATCGTTTACATTACTCTTATTATTAACGTATCGTTACGGTCTTGACGGTGATTTCAATATAGTAAATATGAATACTGAAGAGGTATTTTGTGAAACACGTACATAGGCAGGATTTGAAAACCAATCAGACGACAATCATCCATTGAGACAGTTTTTGAAACCCATGATATTGAAATGTTGGGGCGTTTAACGGAGTCAATCCAGAAAGAAAAAAGCATTTGACCAATGGGTAACCAGGGATCGTAATAAGGCGTTCACAGCGTTTTATTTTATATGAGACCTTTTCTTATACTTTTTTTACCGCTTTTATTCCTGTCTATCCTTATTATCTTGTTTCAATTGGGCTTCTAAAATGTATTTCTTCTGTTTCTTGAGGTTTTTTTTTTATTTAATTTCATTTTCTTTCATAAATGTATAAACTTTTGCTTTTTTTTTATAGCAAGTATATTAAGTATGTTAACATGAAACGCTAATAATTGCAGAAATTTTTTTTAATAAATATAGATGAAAATTAAGTAAAGTTTTTTTTGTATTCTTACTTTTTTTTCTCTGTTTAACGATTTCAGTTCTTTCAATTAACCTAATATTTAGGGACAACTATTATAGTTTTTTTTCCCTTTTTATCGTTAAAATTTTTTAAAAGCGTTGATTACGATACTAAGTTAATATTAAGAGGCAGCATTTTGTTTTCTCCAGAAAATTGAGTAATATTAAAAAACGAGATTTACAGTTTTCGAGTAGGCGAAACATTTGCATATCTGGAATTTGCATATTCCAGCGTATTCCGGATTATACAGTTTTTTCTGTAATATAGATTTGTGATCAACTTTCTTTCTTTTGCATGTTTTATGAGCAATGATCTATTTATAAGTTTTATGTCAGTTAGGATTCTACTTATTTTTCATTTTTGAATCATGAAACTCTGAACAAATTTATTTTACACTGGATCAGTATTCCAGGTGAACTGAATTTCATTATTCAAGATACAAATTTTAACAAATTTTAATTTATGGCTGATAATTAAAAAACAGTAATAAAAATATTTCACTATATTAATCTCAATAATATCAGTTTTGTTTAGTATATAATAAATGTTACGATTCTAAACTAACTCAAATTTCATATAGCATTACTGGTTTGAAAGATTAAATCCTAAATTTCATAAGATAAAAATGTTATTTATACTATACTTAAATTTTAATTAAAATTACTTAGGTACAGAAAATGTTTTCTGCATTTTAGGAATGAATCGTTTAGTGTACACGATATTTTGAGAAATGCTTCACATAAATAATATGAATAGTTTTTTCAATCGTTTTAAATTTTTAATTTTTGAAAAAGTAACCCTATATAAAATGCCACTGGCTGGTAACAAAGTATTACTAATTTAGTCTTATTTCGCTCAGTAAAAAAGCATCATCAAAAAATTACTTTTGCTTAAATTTTGTCATCGAAATCCAAAGTTCGAATTTTGCTTCGAAACTTTAGCGTATTATGCAAATAGTTGACCTAAACTTTTCATAAAGCAAGCCACGAAAAAGATATAGCGACAAAAAAAAGCTACTTGATGACGCAGGAAAAAGCTTTAACTTTGCCACCAATTTTTAGCAAATAGGTTTTCAACGTGAATGCTAAAGACTTTACGATGCCACAGGACGTGGATGCTACAGGACCAAATGTAAGTTACAGAAAAAAAACTTTTTAAAAATCTATATTTTTTTCTACTAAAACATTACTTACACAAGTCTGAATTTTGAGACTGAACGTTTGCCCTTTGTAAGAAATTGTTAACCCAAGTATACATGCTATTTTACCTACCAAAAAGAGTTAACGGAAAAAACAATTTTTAGTTTTCTTATAATAAGAAAATTTGAATTTCGCCTCCAAGCGATAGCTCATCGTAAGAAATAGTCAGGCCCACATTTTTTTTATCGTTTGCCAACTTGTAAAAATACCAACAAAACTAGTTTTACTTAACTTTTGTCTTAGAAATTACAATTTATGACCTAGAAACTTCAAGTATGAATTTTCCCTGCCTATTACAGTGTCATACGTTAGCATTGCTTATACCCCCCCCCCCCCACATTTGTCAGGAAAGAATTAGAAAATCACATAATTACCAGAACTATGGTGCATGACAAAACACTTGCCAATGATATGCCATCCTCATCATGAAGACTATCATGCCTAAATCTTCTTCATCATAAAGAGAAGAACCTGGTCGGTAAAATTCAAAAAAGTAATAAGATTTAAATGAAGTTATCGCCATATTACATAAAATCATTTTTTAAAAAAAATGTTTAAACATTTTAGACACTGTATTACCCTTTTTATGCACCGATGGGACTTTTAAATCCAACTAATATTATTGCCAAAAAGCATTAAAATGGAACAAAATATCCTATTGGAACTTGTCTGTGTCTGTAATATGACTTTCCGTTTATCATTATTAGTTGGCTACACACGATTATTTGAAATTTAACATCATCAATGTTAGAAGTTCGTTTTAGGACGCCAATTTATGATTCCTCAATTCTCAGCTTTCTCGATCAATTTTGCAAGCAAGTCTTTCATATTATTTTTATTGATTCCTTAATATTTTCAACTAGATATAAAATATAGTATTAAAAGTTTGGCTTAAACTAAAATTTTATTATGTGGTGAATAACCCATATTAAAACTTGTATAAAAAAATTAGAAAGCATTTTTAAAAAAGAAAATATTTGTTAAAGTGTAAAATGGACTATATTTAATGGGAGAAAAAAGTTTTTCACACTTTTGATACCTTTTAATAACTTAGTAAATAAAGTGTTAAATAAAGTAAAAGTTCGATAAACAAGTAGGAGCTTATCAAGAAATTCGCTATAAAGACAAATTTCCAAGTTGCTGATAAAATTCTGTCATTGAAGATACCAATATATTTACATAACAATTTAAAAATTGCTATCTTACTGCTATTGCGACAAAAATATTTTTGAGGGAAATGCATTTTTGTACTGTTTAGGTAACCAATAATGAGTTCGAATTACTACTAAAAATGTTATAAAATGGATTGGTGTACATGCAACAAGCTGTCAAAAATGATAACTTGACTTACAGAAAGGACATTGACCGTTAAAGACAGGATTTTTAATATTTGATCAAAACTATACATCGATTTGAGACTACCTCGATGTGTCATTAGACAAGTAGTGAGAGTAACAGGACTAAAGACTTCTAAGCTTTGAGACTACTGCATATTGAGACAACCACCACTTGAAACTTTCATGACGCTCAGACGATCTGAAACTATTTTGAGACTAACACAAACTGAGACTGAGTCGTCCTGAGAACACAACCTGAGACCATACCTGAACCTACCACAGCCAGAAATTTCCATGTCTTCAGACTTCCGAGACTTCAGAATACCACGATACCACAAGCAAGACCTGAGACAACTAAGTCATAAGATAACCTCAAATATGACTTGAGACTACAGAATCAATGTTAAATCAGTCTCACATGTATATTTGGAAATTAAAATAATCATTAGCATTTTAACCACGTGCAAATTTAATTTTTTAAGCCTCTTCGTATGAATAAAATTATCCCTTACATTTATGTGTCTAAATTTGAAATTTATTTATTAATATAAATTGAATCTATAGGAACAGACTTTGTAGAGTCAAGCTTTAGCGTTAGTTTTAAGCATTGGTACAGCAACCTTAAAACGTCATAAATTAAAACATTAGAAAAAAAGCAGCTAAAAAAAATCGCCTTTCGAGACTAAAATACCATCCATCAATTTTGAAACCTATTGTCCAACTCGGTAGGGCTGAAGTTCAACTTATAGAATTTCTGCCTCTTTTTTAACCATGAAAGTTAAATTTTTCATTCAAATAATAGCACACTAATTTTGGAATCGTAAACTTGAAATCACGTCGTTACAATAACAAGTCTTTTTCGATAATTCAAAAGGCAAAAGCGTTTCAGCTAATTTATGGCTTGAAAATGACAAGTTTGAACTTTCACAAACGTTAGGTCATTGTAATAATAAGTTACCCCAAGTAAATTTACCTTTAGCACTCCAACTTAAAAAAAAAAGGTACAGCCAAATCAAGTATTAGTTCATTTTTTACCTAGAAATGACAAGCTTGAATTTTTACACTAAACATTAATTTAGTTTAATTAATCATTACTTCAACAAAAGTTTGAGTTAACTCAAATACCAAAATAAGTTAAGGCCAGAATAAATGTTTGCTCATATATATGTTCGAGAAAGCACAAGTTCGATAATTGCCTTCAAACGTTAACCTATTGTAAGAAAACGTTAGCGAAATAAACTTTTGTTAGCCTTATCATTAAAGCCCTTTAGCAAAACCAAACTTTGACAAATTTCTGACCTAATTACAAGTTTGATATTCACCTCCAAACGCTAGTCCACTGTAGGAATTTGTTAGCCTAACGAATAATTTCGGTCCTACATTCATCAATTAAAAGAAGAGGTCAATGGTAATCTTTCTCAAACCTTAAGTTTGAGCTGCGATGGCTCAGGGGATAGAGAGTTTCCTTTCCAATGAGGTGAACCGGGGTTCAATCCCGGCGATGACTAGTCGATACGAATTCCGCATCCGGCTTGCACCGACCACAGTGCTGATGTAAAATATCCTCAGTGGTAGACGGATCATGGGTTAGAGTCCACTTGCGCCAACAAATTAAATAATCACTCCTCCACTATTACACGATTTACATTAATTTCTTCATTAAGATTCACTCCCAACAATCTCTTGTTGCTTTATAACTGTCTATTAACACATAATACTCACAACCCAATGTTTACTATTCTTACGTTATTCTTTTAAAGTTCTTACTGATCTTATTTTATTTATATCTTAATCTAAAAGAATGCTCATTCGGGGGGCTTCTTTGGGGGCTGGGATTGACTCATCATCGCCACATATCTCATTGCATAAAAAAATCACATACACACAAACCAAATATTGTTACACTTCAACCTAGCCTCTTGCCTAAAACAATGAACTCCAAAAAAGACTGGTCCTGTTTGGATGATAAAAATTCAATTGATAAACTACTACTGGTAATTATAGGAAACATCAATCCCAGAATCAGAGACAAATCTCCTGCACTATCGAAATGCCAACGTAAAAACTGCCACGATGCAATTCGTAATATAAAGATAATCTTGAAAGAAAAGACACAACGAGACTTACCAATTCCAGAAACTGATCAATTTACAACAATTGGGAACAAAATAGAAGAACTATCCCAACAGATTCAAGAATTGCACCAACGTACAGTGAAGTGCTTAAAAGACCTCCACCTGCTCCAATCATTTTACCAGCTAGCAAAGACTGCACAACAGATGACATTATGAAAACAATCACGACCAATATGAATATGCCAATAGTAAAGAAAATATACAAAAATGATAGGATAATGGTGATAAAATTCTACAGCAACAACGACAAAGATAAATTAACAGAATGTATAAAAAACTCTGGACTACCATATAAGGATAAAGTCAAAAATTGAATTTACTCATTTCATTTAACGCACCAACAACCCATAATGACTTGGAAATATTGGACAGAATCAAGCAAAGTTCTAAATATCGCGATTAGTTGGACGAAGTAAACATCATAAAATCAATCTCACACAAAACTGACGAAACCAAAATCACGTTATCCTTAAGGTCACGCATCCACTAGCTCTCCATCTACTTGACATTAACTATATGTATTGGTTTCAACAAATGTTACATAAAAAAAGGATAACCCTCCTACGCTGCAGACACTGTCAGCTCATAAGACATCACTAAGAAAATTGTAAAAATCAAGTATCCTGTGAGACATGTGAAGAAAATCATCCAACAGAAAACTGCACAAGTGAAAAACATTCGTGTATCCACTGTTTAAAATCAAACCAACGCTGCAAAAAGAATCTCAACTACCATCATACCGCAGCGTGTCCGAGCTACGTAAGAGCACTGGACAATCTCAAGAAACAACAAGTTCATCAGCAGAAGATCTTCTCAAACCAGCAGCTGAGGTACTAACTCAGACAATAAGACACTTTCCATCCAAAACAGACTTCAAAGTCAAAGCCCGCAGACTAAAAACTTTTATATATAAGTTAAATTTTTATTTCATTTTCATTTTTTAAATTTTATTCTCTATTCTTTTCTATTTTCCTTAATTTTCTTACATTTCATACATTTTCACTTTTTTTTCTCATTCAAAACTTCAATTTACTACTCTCTTTCATTAATTAACAGTAAAAAAAAAACATATTAATTTAATTCTTTAAAAAAAAAATTCAAACAAAATAATAATAATTAACGATAATAATAATATAAAATATATAATTTTTTTAACATATATTTTTTATCCTTCACTTCACTTTAACATCCTCTTATCAAATCAAAATTTTCGTCTGGAGTGCTCAAAAGTAAGCTACTTTAAGTTATCTTTTCTTTGATGCATAATTCTTATCTTACTGAAATTAAAAATTTCACTATATCAACAAACCTTTATAACTAAAAAAGAGAAACTTCAGAGGATTAAGTCAACAATGGCTACACTACAAAAGACAGTTATTGAACACGGCATTGACATAGTTTGTTTCCAAGAGCCATACTGTCCCAAAAAGCAAATTCTTGACTTCCCTTTATCTTGGAAAATTTTTCACTCAACAGACAAAATAAGCGGTATCTTTATTCTCAATAAATCAGTAATACCCTTACAATTAATTTCATTGAATAATTCAGTAGCAATATCCATAAATTCTTGCAACAACCCAAATCCACTAATCTTAATCTCATTTTATAATTCCCCTTTGGACAATGATTGTTGTTGTTTCTAATGCCACTTGCCATACAAGCAAGCCTGCTTGGTGAAACCGAACAAATTTAAGGCAGAGTGTGCGTTTCTTGTTTTTCAGTGGCGCCATCTATGGTAGTTTTGGACACAGAAACAAACTCTCATCATAAATACATCAAAATCCAACTAAACAATTATTTTTCTTTCTCATCCTTTATTAGATTTAAAACAAAATACGGTGTAATCATAGAAAATTTAAGAAAAACTTTTCAAAATTTCATAATGAATTAAATAGTAATTCAGATAACATAGACACCCCACTACAACTAAACGATTTCACAGATGTCTTAATCGATAAAATTTTTAATTGTTGTAAACTTTCGTATAAAACAAAAGCAT